TTTTTGAAGTTTGGCTCGAGAATCATGAATTAGGGCGATTGCTGGAATCCTGTCACCAAGCTTCTGAATTGTCAACTCGTAAAGCATTCATATGCCTGTTTTAGAGTTGCCATACACCCCCTTTGTGAGCAGGGCGGCAGATTAAAACCAGAAGTACATTCTACCGTTATCTTAAAAAGATTCTAACTAAGCTACCGAATCTTCTGCCTGGGAAAATCCCTTAATTGGAGAATGTGATTGATGACACCCAGGCCGTGAAGGTGCTTCATTGGAGCATCTGATTTATGAGACCCTCCTAGAGAGGGAGGGGGGAAACACGGTCACGGGGGATTGTAAATTACACTTGCCAGAGTCGGCTTCAAACAAGGCAGTGCCAGTATGTCACCTCTAATAAATCCTTTGAAGTTTCTTGTAGTTTGGCTCGAGAATCATGATTTAATTAGGGTGATTGCTGGAATCCTGACACCCTGCATCAAAGGCACATCCAGTTTGCCTTTTGGGGCGGGTGGGTGGCAGTTGTGTAATCAAGTCTCGGGGCTCCTAGATAAGATGATACTGGATCTCGGACTGTGTCCCTTCTGGGGGTTTCTCAAGATCCGTCATTGGGATCGTGATTTGTGCTTGGTTTCGCTTCAATCCTGCAGCCAAAATGAGCCGCCTTTCATTGTGCCGGGACGGTGGTTGCTCGAAGGCTGCAAAATAGCGGGGTGCCCGTGTGTGGGGATGCCTGTGCGTGGGGGGTTGCGGGGGGCAGGTAACCCAAAGGTGGCTCTCACAGCCCTTGAAGCCGGGAGGTGAGTCTGCAAACATTTCGCATCGCAACCGTGGCTCTAAAACAGGGCTGTCAAACTTGCGGCCTACAGGCTGGATGGGTCACACACCGGCCACGCCCACCCCCGGTTTAGCGAAGGGGGGGGAAAGTCCCGTGTCGCCGCCATGAGGACGTGAATTTGACATCCCTGCTCTAAAACATCCTTTTCCCTGGACCCTCCCTCTCTCCTTCCCTCCCTCGCTCTTTCTTCCTCTCTCTCCCACACTCTTCCTCTCTTTCTCTCTCTCTCCCATTCCCTCCCTCTCCCTCCCCAATCTCCCTCCCACTCTCTTCCTTTCTCCTCCTTTCTCTTTCTCGCCCTCCCTCCCTCTCTTCCCCTTTCTTCCTCTGTCCCTCTCCCCCTCCCTCCCTCTCCCTCTCTTTTTCTGCTTCTCCCTCTCTCTCCCTCTACCCACTCCCTCTATTCCTCCCTCTCCCTCTCCCTCTCTTCCTTTCTCCATCTCTCTCCTTCTGTTCCTCTCCCCCTCCCTCCCTCTCTCTCCCCTTCTCTTCCTCTTTGTCTCTGCCTCTCTCTCCTTCTCCCTCCCTCCCTCTCTCCCTCTTTCTCCCTC